TCTATAATTATAAATTGATAGGGGAAAGAATGGGTACTAAACCTTTTTTTTTCCTCACTCCCTTTCATTAGTTCACATTGAATTTGGGTAAGGATTATGAATTGAACAAACCTTTCAGAGAGAGGTGTGTGTGTGTGTGTTTGTATGCACGGGGGTGGTTTGGATGTGAAGGAGGTTAGGTGACTTAACAGTAGTTAGGAGCTTAGAGCTGCTGATCCTTTTGGTGCGTGATGACTTAGAAACATGTTGGGACATGTTATATGGAACCAAGTTAGCCAAATGTCTAGAACATATTCGTTCAAAAAATTTCCTATCACATTTTACTTCAATATTATTCTGATTTAGTTTCAGATCTATAGCATAGTGGTTAGAAAAGCACATACCTTCAAGAATGGTACCTCTGATATTTCACCTGTACACCTGGCCCCATGCATAGTTCTGACGATGCTATTGACTCTATTTTACAGCTATAAATTTACAGCTGTAATTTACAGCTCTGTAGAACATATTCTTAATTAAAAAGTAGAATTCAGTAAAAATCATTCTTCAGCTACAATTCTATATCTACAGGATATGGACAGGATGCTTTACATTTTTGCTTTGGATCTCTCCCTTTTACTTGGCTCCTATATGTACATTTAGAAAGCCTTTCACACGGTATTGCTCAAAACGAATTGGGCAAAGCTTCTTGGGGCAGGAAATTATGTACGCATAGTCAAATCAGATCTGTGTTATGATTCCGGCTCCATTACTTACCAGCTGGGAAACTGAATGAGTTGCAGCACTTTTCCGAATTCTAGTTTCTTCATCTGTTTGGTTTTACTATTGGCAGGACTATTGTGAAAATAGAAGGAAATAGATGGTGTTTGGCCAGCTCCCTTTAAAAATATCTGTCGGATAAGGGTCTCTTACACGAAGGAGCGTTTCCTGACAATTCCGTAGATGGTTAAGGGGTGAAGTCAAAGCTATTGGAAACTATTCGTTTTCATCACTGGTTCTCAACAAAGGGTGGGTTTTTGTTTTTTGCCCACCAGGAAACATTCGACAATGTCTAGAGACATTTAAAATCATTATCAGGGTGGGTAGGAGCAAGCATGCTACCAAAAAAATCCTATAGTACACAGAAAACCCCTCCCAACGAAGACTTAACTGTCCTGCAGGCCAGTAGTGGCTTATACCATAGGGTTGTTTTCCATTTCTTGGATGTGTTTCTCTCTGCTCCATTCTCTTTATTCCTGACAAAGCTGAAAATCTTACTAGAATTGCCGGGCTCCAAATGATTATTCGGCAGCGACAGAGCTGGTGTGATAAGCTAGGCCTAGTCACAGCTGATCTTTCTTCTGTAAGGAACCTTCAAAGTACCCCTCCCCATTCTTCCACAGAAAATTCAGGGCGGTTGTCTCCCCAGACTATGCTTATCCTTTGGTTCTGCTTTTCTGTCCTGTCATCATAGGCTTTGAAAATGACAGTGAATCAGTAAACATGTTCCAGTACAGCCTCCCCATAAGTGACCATTTTTATAATGACTCCAACAGGTTGACATTGCTCTGTTGTTTAAGTATCTCCTGGGACTGATTTTTCTAAACTTCGGTGAGCAGCACATTTGTTTTATCACTGGCAGATGTAGAGGGTGTGATATTGTGTCTGTGTGTGTGCACTGCAGAAATCATCTACCACTTTAGCCTGGTGATTGTCCTATGAGTATACAAATGGGCGCCTGGTAAGTTCAGATTTTTCAGCCATAAATGTGACCCTTGGCGTGATTATATAAGGGATTATGAACATTGGTCGCCCAAAGGTTCTAGGAAGAAGGGGAAGGGCATCACTTATTGCATGCCTGTTTTGTGTCCTGGGCTTATTTTATGTTATTTAAGATTTACAAAATAGACACCCCAGGGAACCAAAGATGATCACAGCTTAAGCTTTGCAGATAAAAGCTGAAATTTAGTGGTTAAGTGGTGTGCCAAGGGTCACATGGCCGCATTTGTACATGTGATATGTTTAACTGCAGAGTCATGTGGCTTGCGAGGGACAGCACAGCATAGATTTGCCTGGCACAGTGGGAAAGTGACGCAAGGTGTCTGCTGGAGGAAGGAAGGAGGAGGCAGGGGGGGCGGTGAGATGGGAAGGAGTTTTGCATTGAGGCTGGAAAGGGATATTACTCATTGAATTGACTCTTCAGATGATTGGCTATAATGCTTGATGGAAGGGAGCTCTCAGAAATGTTTTAACATTGTACATCCTCATTTGAATAAAAAACTACTTACAAACTCTTAAAAACACCCTCCTTCATTTTTTATCCTTCTACCAGTCAGAAAACTATAAAATAAGGCAAACATGCTAATAACCACCACCCAGATGGCTATTCATTTTGTTTTTAAAATTGTGCTAAACGTGGTATACAAGCCCATGTTTATTTCAGGGTACAACATTATAATTCAGTATTTATATATACTGCAAAGTGTTTACCACTGTAAGTCTGGTCACTGTCCATCACAATACAATTGATTCCTTTCACCCCTTTTGCCCTTCCCCTCCGGTCTGTTCTCTGTAATCTGTGAGTTCTTTTGTTCATTTATTTTGTTTTGTTTTTTAGGATCTCACATATGAGTGACATCATCTGGTCCTTGTCTTTCTTTGTCTTATTTATTTTAGTTAGCATGGTATCCTCAAGTGTCCCTAAATGTTGTTGCAGAGGGCAAGATTTCTGTCTTTGTTATGGCTGAATAATATTCCATTGTGTATACAGGGGTGGGCAAAGAAGGTTTATAGTCGTGAGTACATGAACCATTTATTATTCACATTACAACTTTAAACCTACTCTGGTCTACCCCTGTGTGTACCAACCACATCTTTATCCATTCATCCAGGTTGCTTCCACATCTTGGTTATTGTAAATAATGTTGCATTGAACACAGGGGTGCATATATATTTTTTTGAATCAGTGTTTTTGTATTCTTTGGGTAACTGCCCAGAAGTAGAGTGGGTAGGTTATGTGATAGCTCTATTCTCCATTTTTGAGGCATTTCCAAATAGTTTTCCCCAGTGGCCGCACCAGTTTACATTCCCACCGTCAGAGGATGAATGTTCCCTTTTCTCCACATCCTTTCCAATACTTAGTTATCTTTCTGACAGTAGCTCTTCTGACAGATGTGAGGTGATCATTATGGTTTTGATTTCCATTGGTCCAATGATTACTAGTGTTGAGCATCCTCGTTTTCATTTTAAAGTTGAGAAAATACAGAGTCCATAGTATTATTTCTGTTTATCTGTTTTTAAGAAATTTGCATATTCGGAGCAAGAGGAGGCAAGAAATATAAAATAATACGCGTATTTGGCTTTAATTGGCTTTTCTTTCTCTTGCGGAATGGGGGAGGGGTTTTACTTGTATGTGTTCTATGGGTCCCAGTCCGTCAGCTCATGAAATCCTTAAACGGGGGGAAGCTGGAGGGCACATACCCTTAAATGGCCCATTGGGAGAATGCAGTCAGGGCGGGAGCACCTGCTCGGTGCTCCCAGCTCCTTTCCCCTCTGCTGCACGTGTGCTACAGAGCAGGCGTCGTAGGCAGTGGTGGGCCCGGCACTTAGCAGCCCTGGAGCCCAGTCTGCCAGCTTGGCCCCCCGTCCAGTTCCATTATTTCGTTCACAACATTTTTGATTTTCTAAATAATCCAAGGAACTCCTTTCCCATGAGTACTCTCAGTCCTTCTTTGTTAAGTAGGCTTCATCCTCAGCAAATTTTGTGCCATGTGTGAACATCGTGATTGCTACGGTGTACAGCGCAGATATCTGATACAGCGTTTTAGTGAGGTCTTTGCTGGAGGTATGGGAGGTTCACTGGGCTGACTGGAACGTGGGGCCGGTCGGTATCGTTGTATGCATTATACTACATTATAAAGTTGATGCAGATTTATACTTAAGACAAAGCGTGATTACAGCATTGAAATGTAAAAACTTCAATGACTGTTAGCTTCCTCAGATAACTATCTTAACAAAAATACATGCTTATTTTAGAGAAATTGCAAATTCATAAAACTTGGCGAAAATTTCTTTTGGGTTTCACCCTCAAACCCAATTTGAGCCATGCATTTCTCATTCCTGGCTTAACAAACAATGTTGATTAATCTTAATCTGTTGATTAAGAGCTATGTTGGCCAGTGTTGTCTCTGAGGGCTTGAGTTATTCCTCACAAATTTACTCTCGGAGAACAAGCATTTGTTGCCATCCAAGATGGCCATACTATGGGGCTCTAAAAATCTAGAAGGCAAGTTCTGAGTAGAGGTGGCATCACAAAAATAGTGTCACCAGTAATTCGAGGTGTCTTTTTTTGAATGGTAGGCTAAAAAATGTCATTTAGTACCTTAAGGTCTTAACTGATGTAATGATGTCTTTAAGCCAGCATGGTCATTGCCTTGTGCATGCTGTAACAATGTATAGAATAAAGGATTCTGTTAACTTTGTTGACTACTTCATGGTTTGAAACTAAACGAAGTCTCAGTATTCATGTATTTACTATTCCTCAACAAACAAATTTTTGTTGCTGATAGAACATCAGGACAGGGTCGATGTAGACATTTTACCTAAGAGAGCATTGGAGACTACAGGAAGTGTGGGTGAAGTCCAGACTGAAGGGATGCAGCCATGCTGAGATTTCAGAGAATTGGTGGTTGAGCCCTGGCTGGTGTGTGGCTCAGTGGTTTAAGTGCTGGCCTGCGAAGTAAAGGGTCGCCGGTTCAATTCCCAGTCAAGGCACATGCCTGGGCTGCAGGCCAGGTCCCTAGTAGGGGGCGCCAAGGGGTAACCACACTTTGATGTTTCCCTCCCTCCCTTCCCCTCTCTAAATAAATAAAAATCTTTTTAAAAAAGAAGATGAAAGAAAAAAGAGAATTGTCCATTGAAATACATTTTACTTGGCTTCTTAGGTCTGTGTGAGTTTAATTTGAGGTTAGAAGCAACCTTGTTTTACCTCCCCAAAATGTTTCCTTGACTTAATCTCCCAGGTTTAAATTTAGAGAAGAATAGTTCAGTCTCCCGGTATGGAGCCTCTCAAGTCGAAGATATGGGGAATATAATTTTAGCAATGATTTCAGAGCCTTATAGTAAGTATCACTGCGGTAACAGTGCAGGCCCAGAATTTGGTCCCACCCACTTTCCCTCACCCACACCTTTGAATTTCCTTTCACAGCTTCATCTCCCTAAGAGCAAAAACGATGACTTGTGTGTTCTCGTTTTTAGGTCACAGGTTTTCAGATCCAGAAAGAGTGAATTACAAATTTGAAAGTGGCACTTGGTAAGTATTTGAGTACTATTCCATTTGAGCCTTTTAATTTATTTTACTCATTTTGTGATATTTAACTCCCTTTATATTTTTGGCTATCCATTTTTCAATATTAGGTCATTTACATAAGAATGTTCTATCTTAAAGTGCGCTTGGATGTCAGGATTAACATTTAATGAAATATGTACATCCTTAGTCACTACGACGTTAACTACATTGTATGTTTATGTCTATGATTTTTATTTTAGCCTCTCTGAACTATCCATCCTCTCACTGGAAAACTTCCAAAGGAAAAACCATAGGCTTTAAAAGAGTTCACAAGATCTTTACTGAGATAATTTAGAGTATGCTCTATCAGCTTCCACTTCAAAGCAAAGGAAATAACTGGGGAGGAGTATGAAATGGTGGTATCTCTGTTTGTGATCACAGGTAGACCTGCTCGAGTTTGTAAATCACTGTAGTGAATTCCATGAAATTGCCTGGTGCCTGATGTGAACAGAAACTTCTGACATCTTTGCCCACAGAGAGCCTCTGAGGCCTATGTAGTTGCGAAGAAAGTGACTCATTGGGAAAATGTCCTAGGAGTATCAAAAATATGAATATAGAAGGAATAGAACATCAAAGATGTCAAAATATATCGTGCGTGATTTGCAAATGACTCATTAAGGTGTGGGCACTCCCGGGCATTTCCATAAACACTCTCCGTGATGGCTCCCGTCTGATAGAGGAGATGATTTAATGGCAGGCTGTGAGTGTACACGCATACTCCTGGTGTGGGTTAACTGCCGGCTTCACGGAGATCTTCAATTTTGCTGTCACACTGGGTTTAAAACCTACTGGTGTCCTGGCCAGTCTGGGGAAGGAATTTGAACTTATCCTTCTTGGTTCTAGAACTTAGCAGCCACCAGGATATTGGGAGAACTCAGCTTCCTGATACTGGGTGAACTGATACTGGGTCCTCTGAGTTTATGGCAAGCAAGCAGCAACTCACCTGATAGATGCCGTGCTGGGTGAGCCAGCTCTGTTGGCTCTGCATAGCCGGTTGTCTTTCTATAGTGAAGCCCTTAAAAAATATAACTTTGAATTATGCCCAGGTAATTTTTGAGGTTCCAGAGTAAAAACAGGCAGTATTAAAAGTCTTATCTGAACAGCAAATAAATAATGCCACATGTACAAATAAGCAAATTGTCTTCCAGGGGGCGATAGGTCAGGCTCACTAGCATTAATCATGCGACCTGAAATTATGCTTGATCCACAGCAGCAAGATGGAGCTGATTGATGACAACACAGTGGTCAGGGCCCGAGGTTTACCATGGCAGTCTTCGGATCAGGATATTGCAAGATTCTTCAAAGGGCTCAATATCGCCAAGTTGGTTTTCTTTCATCTCTAGTTTACTTAACAATCCCAAAGGGAGAATGGGTTTCCTCTCATTTTTTCCCCCCGACTGTATTATTTTTCCTACTGCTCTCTGTTCTGTTCTTTCCAAAGGGGAGGTGCAGCACTTTGCCTGAATGCCCAGGGTCGCAGGAACGGGGAGGCACTGGTTCGGTTTGTGAGTGAGGAGCACAGAGACCTTGCCCTGCAGAGGCACAAACACCACATGGGAACCCGCTACATTGAGGTACAGCCTCCCCGCCCGAGGTCCTTGGCGTCTTCAGTGTGACCATCAGAAGGCTCAGAAACTATTTACATTTCCCTCTCTTTCCTTAGGTTTACAAAGCAACAGGTGAAGATTTTCTTAAAATCGCTGGTGGTGAGTGCCTCTTATACAATGTGGCTATAAAAAGATTCTAAAATTTTATTCAAATATCAAGGGTAGATAAATAGTCTTGAATGGTTTTTGTTTCCCAGGAAAATATAGGAATCAACCTTATTTTTTTGATAAGAGGAAGAAAATGTCCAATAGTATCAGTAAGTATAATGCATGACACTGGCCCTAAGTTTTAAGTCAATCACTGTAGTTAAATAGCTGTTAAAAATAGTATTATTCAAAGGTGAAAAGGTCATATAAAGTCATGTACACAGGGAAAGAGTAGTTCTTGAAAGAAAATAAGTAATCTGAAAACTACTTTCAAAAAGCCACTTTAGAATCCCTGGAATTGTTGCTTGTTTGCTTGTAGTTTTTGTAGTTTTTCTCCAATTTTCTTAATTCATCGATGGCCATGAACATGGTAATGTTCTGCCTTCTGGTATTCGAGGATGTGTAGTGTTCTCAGTAATATGGTCTGAAAGAAGCAGGAACATAGAAAGTCTTGATCTAATCTTGAGTGATTTACAACCTTAAAACCTAAAAATAACAAGTACATAAAAATGTTAACCATGATTTGTCCAACTGATCTTTCCCTATACCTGTAACTAAATACTTTGTAAGGTTTTATAGCTAGTTTTCCCTTGCTCCTTTTAATATAATATCTTCCTATGTTACTGAATTTTCTTAAACATTCATTGCTGTTCAGTGATATATGTACCATAAATTTTTATTAAACATCCCTGTTGGGTATTTTAGAGCTTATTCCAACTCTTCACTCTAAGTATGTTGCAGTGAATGTTTTGTATCTCTGTATGTGCTGCTCATTAGGATGAATGTCTAAAAGTAGCTGAATCAAAGAATGTTGATGGACCTATTAAGAGACTGTTGACACCTATTGCCAAAATATACTAGGTTGACTTTCACCTAAATACAAAGAGCATTTTTATCCTTGCATTATAGTATAGCCTGGTAAAAAGCCTTTGCAGTTTTAGAACTTTAGTAACAGCACCCTGTTTATAAAATTGTCGGGTGTAATTCTGTTCTGGCTCTTATTTCTTAGGTAAACCAGGGCTTCCAAATTCATAGCTTCCAGTTTAATAGTATTTCCAGAGTTCCCGAAGTAATACTTGATATTAATTATGGGTAAAGTATATTTTGAATTGCTAGATGATCCTGAGTTGGCTTGGTAGATACCATTGTAAATTGCAGGTGGCAAAGTTAATTAATGTTCAAGTTAATGTCTGGGATTTCATGGTATGTGGGCAGTAGGATTAAGGGACAGTGTTACTAGTGTATGAGCTTGAATTATGTGCATTCGAATATTTTGCTCTGTGGCCGTACTGTACAACAGGCTTTGTGTTAGGCAGAATATGGATAAATGTTGAAACTGACTGCTAACCATATTTATTACACTGTTCTCTCTACTTGAGTATGTTTGAATCTTAATAAGAAGTAATCAGAAAAATAATAACAAAAATCACTAAAGTACTTTAGATGTAATAACTTATTCTCATAATTTATAAGGTAGGTAGTTTTACCCTCGTTTAACAGATGAGGAAACTATGTCACAGAAGTTAAACTTCACTAAAGTAGTGCCCTAGTAAAATGGTAAAGCCAGGACTAGGCCCAGATATTGTAGCTTCAGCACCTATGCCCTTAACCACCATGGTGATTAATTGCCTCTTCATGAGAATAATATGGTGGTTGGTCCAAAATTTAGTTGTCTGGCTACCCCTCTAATTGGGAGGTGTTTTATGAAAATGGGAAAGGAAAACTTTTAAGTTTGTGGGAAGAGAATTCTTTTTTTCCTGGGATGTTATTGTAAATTCCGGAGGGAGAGTGAGTCTTAATTTTGAATTCAGGGCATTGCCTAGAATTTTACCATTTTGAATTTGGTAAAGTTGATGTTTTAATCATTTCTCCCCATGCTTCCTAATATTTGTGTTCCCTAGGTACATCCAACGAGGTAGCCCAGTTTCTCTCCAAGGAAAATCAAGTCATTGTCCGCATGCGGGGGCTCCCATTCACAGCCACAGCTGAGGAAGTGGTGGCCTTCTTTGGACAGCATTGCCCCATCACTGGGGGGAAGGAGGGCATCCTGTTTGTGACCTACCCAGATGGCAGGCCAACAGGGGATGCTTTCGTCCTCTTTGCTTGTGAGGAGTATGCACAGAACGCGCTGAGGAAGCATAAGGATTTGTTGGGTAAAAGATATATTGAACTCTTCAGGAGCACAGCAGCTGAAGTTCAGCAGGTTGGTTTTCAGTAAATTAGTGGACGTTTTGCATTATTCCTGTTTTGTTTTGTTTTTTTTTTAATTTCTGAAAACAACCCTCCATTACTCATTGTTAACATGAGACTTGGAAAATACAGAAAGTGTAAGTGCATGAAAAAAACCTTGTTTCTTAATCAAATGACAACAAGCACTGTTAGCTTCTATACACACAGAACACATACCATGTGTTTTTTTGTAGTCTGTTTCAAAACAATATCTTGAAAGCATACTCATGTCCGAAAAAATTTATATTTAAGTTAATGTGTCTCATGGAGTTACATAATTTAAATTTCTATTATACATTTGGATTGTTTTTTTTTTCCCTGCCATAGGGAATTTCTAGATAAACATTCTTATAAAGCTCTTAATTTCTGACTGATTTCTTTAGAACTGAAAATAGGGCATGAGCTTTCAAGGTTTTCAATTTTGATGTCTTGCCAAATTTATTTTCCAGTGAGCTTGATCGGTTCTGTGCTGCTGGTGGCAAACTTTTCTTATGCCCTGGTACTTTCAGAATTCAGAATTGTTTTGAGGCACAAATCAGTTTCTAAAAACATTCGAAGGGTTCCTCGGCATGGAACCATCTCGAGCGTCTCAGGGCTTTCGGCTTTCGGCTTTCCTTCTCGATTTACCAGCTGAACCTTTCCCTTCCAGGGTCAGCGAGTGTTTCCTCGGTATCTGAGATCAGAATACACTGCTTCACAGGCTCTTTCAACCTGTTCTATTTGGGCCCTGTAGTAGAACATAATCAGTGATTCCTTTGGATTTTTTTTAAAAGCAGTTAAGACACTGACTCCACTATTATGTCTGTGAGTTTATGAAATGATTTTGTGTAGCTTCTACAAAGCCCATTGTATATTATGATTTAAAACAAGTCTATACCTTGTTGAAAATGAATATCAAATTCTGAATCTAAAATATGCTGTACGTACTTTGGGATTGAAATATTACAGACATCTTTCCCAAACTAGAGGGGGAATGTGAGATTTTTTTTTTCATTGAAAGAACAGTTTCATGGAAATAATTACTGAGAATAGACTACTCCATGGCCTTGGCTTCTTTCTATTGATTGGTTTGGGTGTAGAGTGTGCTACCTCTATGTGACTCTAACATACGGTAGTTTTGTGTGTGAGTGAGCTTCCTCTGCAGCCCCCTATTTCTTTTCTTTTTATTTATTTTTTATTTCTTTTTTTTAAACATGTATAATACTTCACTTAAAAATTTATTTATTTATTTATTTTTAAAGAGGAGGGAAGGGAGAGAGAAAGAAAGGGAGAGACAGAAACATCAATGTGTGGTTGCCTCTCATGTGGCCCCCACTGTGGACCTGGTCTGTAACCCAGGCACAGTGCCCTGACTGGGAATTGAACCAGCAACCCTCTGATTCTCAGCCTACGCTCAATCCACTGAGCTATACCAGCCAGGGCTCCGGCCCCCTATTTCTACTGATTTATGTAATAAGATTTGAAGTGGTCGTAGGCTCTGCACTCTCTTCTTTTCATTACTAATATTTCATTCAATAGCTATTTGCTCACTCCCTATTTGTCAGGTTCTGTAGGTGCAAGACCACTTCCTGCCTCAAGTTAGTCTATAACCATGCTTATTTTCTATTGTGTTCTTTCCCTAATGTTTGTGCTATGTCTGGATTGTACAATTTTTTGAAACCTTGCTGTCTTGTGGTTACATTTTCTTGGTTGTGTTTGTTCTTTGATTTTTTGTTGTTGTTATTTGGTCATCTTGTACTCAAATAGCAACTGGGCAGGTTGTGAATAAGGAAATTAGGGCACATATTCGCAAGTTCAGTTGTTTTATATTTTCAGTTTATGGGATGATAAAGTTTGCATGGGTCAGTTGTTCGAAAAACCCAGGGATACCACACATGGCATTTGCCCAAGGACTCCCTAGTATTATCAGCTAGTGGCCATGTTCTAAACTAACACGAAAATAGGCAAGAACTTTGAATTGCCTGGGAGCAGTTTTTTTCTTCAAAAGGTACTTGGCCTCATTCATTCTCAAGATAGCCAAATTCTATTCTATTTAAGAGTCAAGATCCTGTGTGTTGCCAGTGTCTAAAAAGTTCACTTGGACACTGATTATTTTTAGTTTTACAAAATTTAGTTCACTAAATTATTTTTTCAGTTTTACATTCTGCCATTCTATCTTTTTTGCTTTGGATATTATTTGCTTTATAAATGTGGCATTGTATTGTAATATAATCCATAATCCTTGTTTTGCCTTTGGCTGGATTACTGGGTTATTGTCTTTATACTTCTTGGATTGGAAGGTGGTATATGAAGCAATATTAAGAGGACTATTGGATTTAGAAAAATGAGATCTAATAAATCAGTACAACGTCCATGATTAGCAATTCCAGATATTTGTGAAAGTTGCAACGTTAAGGATATTTGCCCCAAGGCAGATAGTGTTGCATTGTCTAGTAGACAAGTCCTTAATCTAAGCGCATTTGCGTTTTGTGTGGTATATCCCCAGCATGCATTTGACGAAAGTGGGTGTCAGGCCTGCGCAGCTGAAAAGCACGAGTCCCTGTCTCCATGAGTGCTTCTCAAACTTTAATATGCCGTGCATCACCTGGGGGTCTTGTTAAAGTGCAGATTTCAGTTTGCTAGGTCTGGGGCAGAGCTGAGGTTGTGTATTTCTAACAGGCCCCCTAGCGGTGCCAGTGCCGATAGATAGCATTGGCATAGCCAGGCTCTAAATCCACTTCCGTTTTGCTTCGAGTACAGGTGCTGAATCGATTCTCCTCGGCCCCTCTCATTCCACTTCCAACCCCTCCCATTATTCCAGTACTACCTCAGCAGTTTGTGCCCCCCACCAATGTTAGAGACTGTATTCGCCTTCGAGGTCTTCCCTATGCGGCCACAATTGAGGACATCCTGGACTTTCTGGGGGAGTTTTCCACAGATATTCGAACTCACGGGGTTCACATGGTACTGAATCACCAGGTAAGAAAGTTGCTTACTGGGAAAGTGGTTTGCTTATTCTTATTATCAAAGAGTCTCATACAAGAAAAGAATATAGAGGTTTATCAGTTGTACAGTAAGCCTTGAAAGGGTGATGTAACTATAAATGCTAGAGGTATTTAAGGTGAACTCCAGAAAGAATGCTATCATGGGTATGATAATTCGAATTTGGTTCTGACTCTGTCATCACATATATCCATCAAATACTCAGTAGCATCATAGGACATTATCAGTCTAATACATCCTAGTGTTGCAGCTACTGAACTCTACCGTCATAGTGTGAAAGCAAACGTGGATGATACGTAAACCAATGACATTGTCTCTGTTCCAGAGTAGTTCGTACCCATCGGTTGTTTAGAAACAGTTTATTTTATTTCATATATATGTTTTTATATATATTTAGATAAAAGTTAGACATCAAATTACTTTCAGTGAAGTGTAAACTCAGTAAGGACTAGTATCTGCACCACCTAGAACACTGTGTTCGTAACAGGCACTCAAAGATACTATGAATTAATTGATTAGTAGAAACCTCTATAAAAATGTAACTGAGTTCTGTGCTGTGCAGAGGTATATATTCTAAGCATTGGTAAAGGAGTTCCTGGCTTAGTTCTCTTGATTTTGGTCGAATAGAATCATCTTTATTACTGGACAATATGCCAGTATTTTGTGCTATCAAAAAGACAGAATTCTAAAAACCTATAAACCCAGAATCCCAGTAAAAATTTTGGAACTCTTTTATTAAAAGCAAAGTTGTTTTAATTTTTGAAAATAAGATGTTTTTGATGAATAATGGGTTGAACATACTTTGTATTGGAATGCCGATGTTTTTCTAAACTGCTAGTATTCCACTTTCTCTTTTCACATGGAGATTTGGTCATGTTCATGACCACGATCCTGTCTCACTGGAGAGTGCATGCCCCTGGGTACAGGCGATCTGAAACATCCTGAACCCTGCCTGGTTTTCCACGCCAGCATATGCTCATTCTAACTCTTATGTCCGTGTTAAGCTATGCAACTTTTTATCTGAGTAGGTACCCTCTCAGCATGCTTCGTCAGAATCCTTTTGAATAAAATTCCCCATAATTCCTCATAAATCCCCTCCAGGGATTAGTTTGGTTTCTCTTTGGGTCACCATTTCTAATAATGTAGAGGCTATTATTACTCTTTAATTAACAACAGTAGACAGGTTTACCTATCATTGAACCACATGACCTATTGCAGTTGCACTTGGGTGAAATGCTTCTTAGATGATGGACAAGCTGTGAGCTGTCTCGAAGATGTCAGGTTTCCATCTTGGACTGGGTCTCCCTGGTGTCCCTAATTTCCCTGGTATGGTAACTCGTATGGTAACTTGCATGGTAATAATTTGCATTAAATAGTCCCTGAGGGACTTTTAAAGACATCCACGAATAAGAAAGTCTTATAAGCTGATTGTATTTTTTTTTCCTCCCCCATAAAATGTTGATGCTTAATAAAACTGTCATTTTGGTTCTGTGGAACACAGATCTATCAGCTTGGTTTTGAATAGCAGATTTTTAGCTAGCTGTTAGTAATAGAAGAAGTGACTATCAACACCTGTTGGGCCAAGATTTCAGATGGAGGTGCATGGGTGAAGGTGAGAGAAGGGCTCCCCTGGAAGGCTGACAATAACAGCTATTGCCAACCTTCACTGTGCTTTGCACCTGCCAATTCTTGTCTCCCCTTCCTGTCCCCAAGCCACATTCCAACCTAGGCTGCAGGGAGAATGGAAAGGGATATTGCAGGGCACTGATGGACAGAACTTAGAGCTTAAAGAGAACACTGGTTTATTCACTTTCCCATAGGAGGGTACATAAAACTCAAATACTGGTTCTGTTACCAGCTTTTCTCAATCTAGTAAGTTCTAGTATTTTTCAGAAATGCAAAACCCACTATACAACCCTGTACTTTGAGACCACAGTCGCAAGGAGACAGACCTTTTCAGACCCTTGTAAATCTGATACTAATAGAAACTAAAAAGAATCACTTTAAGCTGTGAGCTCTCAAAATTGTTTCTTCCCCTTTTTGTGGCCATTCTGGTGATTGATTAGGTGATGAAATGCCAAGTCAGCTATCAGTAGGTCACATGGTCACCCAGATTTTGTGGCTAAAATGTCTGTACTTTGGGTGATTGTCACTTTGCATGTTTTGAAAGCAACCATTTCCTTGTTGAAGGAGACAGTCTCCTTTTGTTTTTATTCTTCCCCCACACGCTCAGGGCCGCCCATCAGGAGATGCCTTTATCCAGATGAAGTCTGCGGACAGAGCGTTTATGGCTGCACAGAAGTGTCATAAAAAAACCATGAAGGACAGATATGTTGAAGTCTTTCAGTGTTCAGCTGAGGAGATGAACTTTGTGTTAATGGGGGGCACTTTAAATCGAAATGGCTTATCCCCACCGCCATGTAAGTTACCATGTAAGTTTTTCTTGGGTCTTGGCGCTATTCTACGCTGTGTGCTGGTAGGTGCTTAAGCTGCTTTCATAACTTTCTATGTCCCTGGTTCTTTCTGAGGCAGGAAGGTGGTTACACAAGGCTTTCCCATCTGAAATCGGTAGTATCTGGTAATCATGTAAGATTTTGGTTGTGGACATCCATAATTAGAGATGCTACAAATACCTCCTTTCAAATTATATTCTTGCTTTTCCCATGATAAGCCCTTGATTTCTGAAGCTTAGTGTGCTCAAGATAAGCACTGACTCTGGGAGGCAACCTGGCTATGTAGATATTTTAATACGCATTTAAAGGGGAAATAAGTATGGCTGGATCTTTTTTTTTCCTATAATACATTTGATTTGATGCCCATTTTGCATTGTTAAGTTACTGAACATTAAGTATTTTTTGGATAGGATAACCTGGGGAGCATTTGTCTTGCTCTCCAAGATATCTGGAATGAGCAAGTGAGTAAAAAATACAAATGCGTAAATAAATTAGCCAAAGTTTCCATTGGATCGCAGGATCAGTGCTTAATTTCAAGCCATGCTCTTGCTCATTGGCATCTGGGTGCAAGCCATCTGGAATCTTGTTTGAGAGGAATAAGCCCTTTAGTCTGAAGACCAAGTTCTGGTTAAGTGACTAGGGAACATTGGGGATCTAATATTAAAAGTTGAATCTTTTCACACAATTTTCACTTTCGAATAAGTCATAGCTTATTACTAGGAGGTGTGTTGGGTATGTTTAAAGAATGTAGCACTTGGAATACAGTCCAGAGAGAACTGAGACCGTAAACTGGATTTTGTGCTTGATTCCAGTAAAAGAGGGCGCATAGGACATGACTTTCTAGTAAAGAGAAATCTGTACCAGTAGACCTATTTAAACAAGGATTATTTATAGAATATTCAGTGGGGCTTAATCCTTTTTCCCTTGGAATTCCTAAACGCTAATATTCTATTTATCCGCTGCTTGCTGTTGGCAAATGAATATCTTAGAGTTGGTCGGTAATAAGTATTAAGTTTTGAAAGTCTATGATTGGGTTTAAGTGGTTATCTTAAAGTAATCTTAGTCCTATGTATTCTGTCTATAAGTCATTGATAATGTCAGTAACTTTTAAAATTTTCTTCAGTGATAATCTGTCAAACATTATGGATAAGGGAATTTCTCCTTCATGTGTAACCAAAATTCTGCTGTGATATCATTTTACTTCTCTCTTCCTGGTACAAAACTGGTTATTACACTTTCTTTATAGGACTTTTCATTTCTTCCCCTTTCTCCCTCATGAGCCCTAAAATAATAAAAATTTGAAATTTATTTTTATATAAAAATATATTTCCATATCTTTTAATACTTTCCAAAAATTATAACTAAAATTGGCCACTTACCATTTTAATAGAAGAGTTTATTCATTTTTTTTTTCATTCAAATCAGAATTTTGATTTTATGCATGATAATATTCCTGTTCTGCTGGACTATTTTTTTCTTGTCAGCTCATTTTAGGTGATTGCCTATTTATATAAGAACCAAAAAATGTACAGAAACTGCATTGATTTTTATATCATCTCAAGGATTAATACAGTTAAAATAGTGACTAGCTATGACTCACTGAGGAATTTCTTAACCAAATTTGAGCAAGAAATTCTGGTGAAGTCTTACTGTTTTAAAGTTGTAAACTTTTGTTTTTTGAAATTTAACTGTTCAAAAAGTTTGTCACCTCCATTTTTCTAGTCTGTGAATATGTACATCTTGCTTTCTTGTAGGAATGCGAGAATGGCTGTACAGTCATTTGCATACACAAATCTGAGCTGCCTAATCTGTTGTTATTAAAACTTTCTACTTTGTTTTGAGGCAGAACAGATGTGTACGTACTATAGATGTCTGATTAGTATGAGATATTCTTATTTAATGAATTGCTTGACCGTTTTGAAAGCAGAGTATGAGCACAGGCTTTACAGTTTTCTGTATGACTCTGATGCCCCAATTTGTCCTAATTGCCCATATGTGGACTCTCCAAAGGCCAGAGATCATAATTTGAAACTCACCTACATGTTGGGTATCTACATGTAGCTCAGTTTTCGGGCAGTATGAACAGGGTAGCCCAAAGGTGACTATGAAGTCAGTATGTGTACCTACATGAGGCTTTTGCCCTGTGGACCCATATTTAGGTGACCGCCCTATTGTTCTCCATAGACATGTCAAAACTCATAAGAATTACAGAAGTCAGAGGATTTCATGTGAAAATTATCCCTTGGCCCTCTGCTGTTTGCAAAATAAATTAGGTTGTTTTAGGTGTGACAATTAAAGTTAGGAGCTGTAAATTCAGGCAAACTCTCAGTCACCTCTTCTGTTGGGTACACACGGCCTGGGGAACTGTGTTGGTCTCACATATCAAAGGGAGGGACCATCGGGTGGTCTGACTGAAGTCGGAGAACCAGAAGACAAAGCAATTTCATTCTTCCTATTCTCTATATCATCCGAGTCCACAGTTTCTGAGCTGACTCTCAGGAAGGCTAGTGCTTCTATTTCTCAGGACTACTTTCCAGGTTGGATTCATCCCACCCCCTCCCCAGGTTCGAAGGTGTAGATTAGCTTCAAAGCCCATCTCCTAGTGGGAGTAATGCAGCATTAATTCACTTCTTTTATGTCAGTTAATTCTGAAACCCTATAATCTGGCATAATACATGGTACTGGTGAAGAGGGTTTCAATGTTTCAGCATCACCATTTTCATTTCACGTGGTACTACAGGGTGGCTAAGATGGAATAACAGCTTTTAATAGGAAGTTAGGCTAAATGTCAGTCCTGTGTTTCTTTCCTCAGAGTGTTTATTTGTGGTAACTGGCACTCAGGCATGGAAGCAAAATGTCACAGGTCATGAAATGTTTCAGGAGACTTTCGATGACACTGTTTTCTCCAAATTTCAGACCAAGAATGTCTCTTTAAGTTGGAGTATGAGATCTGAGATTACTTCCAGATTTTGTCTGTCTAGGCAAAAGAAAGTTGCTAGGGTAGTAGAAAGAATTGCTCTTACTTTAAAATGTGTATGTGTAATAATGTTACGGCTTCAGTGCTGCACATGTGCGTCAGCTCTTACAAATGTTTCAAAGTCTCTCCCTCTCTCTCTCTCTCTGCTTATTTAGGCCTGTCTCCTCCTTCCTACACATTTCCAGCGCCTGCAGCAGTTATTCCTACTGAAGCTGCCATTTATCAGCCCTCTCTACTTTTGAATCCACGGGCACTGCAGCCTTCCACAGCATACTACCCAGCAGGCACTCAGCTCTTCATGAACTACACAGCATACTACCCCAGGTAAGGCTCCCATGGGTGTGGACATGAGGGACAAAAACAGGCCTCCTTCAAAGGCCAGTGCCCGAATTCACAAAAGAATATTCTCTGCCACATTGAAAGTTAGCATGGTAGACAACTGCTTCTGTCATATCTCAAAGTAAGGTGGTTTCCAGGTAACCAAAGTATGTTTATTTTTAATCGTGTATTAACAGAATCTTTCAAGCTATTTTTGTGTACAGTTTTACTTTTTTAGCCTCTCCCATCTTAGGACCATAAGTGAGGGGCACTGTAATTATTGCAATAGGGTGGCAATACCTTGTGAATGAATTTAAAAATAGGAAGATCATTAATAATAATTATATTTTTAAATAGCATGAATAAACACAGTAAATAAACAGTGGTTTTAAATTGTACACAACCTGTATCCTTTCTCCCCTAAATCTTTAAAAACAACTTCAGATAAAATTTATTTAGAACTTTATTAGAATCAACTATATTCCCTGGTTTTCAAGGGAAATTTTTAAAATTATAGCTGACATACAATATTATTTTTTAGTTTCTTATGTATGTAGTTAGGATTATTTGTTCAAGTCCTGTACAAAATGCTATTGATGTTTTGCTACAAATTGCACTGAATTTGTAGTCTGCCTCGGGTATTGTTAGACATTTTAACTATGTTAATTCTTCCTGTCCATGAGCATGGTATATAACTTCTATTTATATGTATCTTCAATTTATTTTTTTATTGTCATTTTTCAAGTACACACTTTTTACATCCTTGGTTACATGTATTTTTAAGAGGTTTTTTTTGTATGCAATTATTTATACATGGGATTGTTTCCTTAATTTGTCTTTCTGATAGTTATTGGTGTGTACAAATGCAACTGATTTCAGAATATTAAGTTTGTATCCTGCTATTTTATTTAATTAACTAATCAGTTCTAATAGTTTTTTTAGTGGAATCTTTCTTTTAAAAAAATTTTTTTATTTTAAGAGGGAGTGGAAGGGAGGGAGAAGAGAGGAAGAGAAACATTGATGTGAAGAGAAACATGAGTTGTTTGCTTCTTGTAGATGCCTTGCCAGGGTCTGAACCTGAAACCTGGTCGTGTGCCCTGACCAGTAATCGAACCAGCAACCTTTCTCTTCTCTAGACAACGCCCAACAAACTGAGCCACACAAATCACGGTGGAATCTTTAGTTATCTGTATATAGTATAATGTCATCTGAAAATAATGACAAGTTTACATCTTCCCTTTCAAATTCAGATAGCTTTTTTTTTTTTTCTTGTCTCATTGCTGTGGCTGGGACTTTCAATACTATGTTGGTTAAAAAGAGTAAATGGGGACATCATTGTCCACTGGAACATCAGGTGTTCCTGATCTTAAAAAAGAGAAAGCTTTCCTCCCTGATGGGCATGGCTCAGTTTTGCCTGTTGACTATGCTACTGGCAGTGGGTTTGTCATACGTGGCCTTTATTATATTGAAGTATGTTCCCTCTATTCCCACTCTGATGAGAGGTTTTATCATAAATGGGCGTTGGATTGTATCAAATGCTTTTTCTGCATCTATTGACATAATCATGTGGTTTTTATCCTTCATTTTATTTATGTGGTGAATCACACTTGTTGATTTGTGAATATTGTACCAGCCTTGTATCCACAGAATAATAAATCCCCGTGATCATGATGTACAATCTTTTTGATGTGTTGCTTGTATTTGGTTTGCTCATATTTTGTTGAAGATTTTAGAGTCTATGTTCATCAGTGATACTGGCCTATAATTTTCTTTTTTTGTAGTGTAGACTGATTTTGGAATTAGGATAATGCTGGCCTTGTAAAATGAGTTTGGGAGCCTTCCCTCCTCTTGAATTTTATGAAATACTTTGAGATGGAGAGGTGTTAAAAATGTTTGTTAAAATTAACTTGTGAAGCCATCTAGTCCATGGCTTTTGTTTTTTGGGAGTTTTTTTTTATTACTGTCTCAATTTTGGTGTAATCTGTCTATTCAGATTCACTGATTCTTCCTGATTTATTTTTGGAAGATTGTATGTTTCTAGGAATTTATCTATTTCGTCCAGATTGTCCAGTTTCTTGGCATAATATTGGCATAATATTCTTGGCATAGTTGTTCATAATATTTTCTTACAATCCTTTGTATTTGTTTGGTGTCGGTCGTTACTTCTCTTTCATTTCTGATTTTATTATTTGGGCCCGCTCTCTTTTTTTCTTGATGAGTCAGTTAAAAGTTTGTCAATCTTCTTTTTTTTTTTTTCCCCTTAAGATTTTATTTATTTATTTTTAGAGACGGGGAAGGAGGGAAGGGAGGCAGAAAGAGGGGAAGAGAAACATCAATATGTGGTTGTCTCTTGCACACCCCCCAGTGGGGGGACCTGGCCCACCACCCAGGATGTGCCGTGGCTGGGAATCAAACCAGCGACCCTTTGCAGCCACACCAGTTAGGATCAAAGGTTTGTCAATCTTGTTTATGTTTTTAAAGAACCAGCTTTTGGATTAATTGATTTTCTGTATTATTTTTTTAGATTCTAGTTCATTTATATCTTCTCTGATCTTAATTATTTCCTTCTATCTTCTCACTTTGGGCCTTGTTTGTTGTTCTTTTTCAAGTTCCTCTTTTTTTTATTAAAAATTTTTTGTTGTTGTTCAAGTACAGTTGTCTCCATTTTCCCAGCACTACTTTCCCCACCCATTCCCACCCTCACTTCTACCCCACTTTGGCTTTGTCCTTGTGTCCTTTATACATGTTCCTTGATGACCCTTCCTCCTTTTCCACCCATTGTCTCCTCCCACCTCCCCTCTGGTTACTGTCAGCTTGTTCTTTGTTTCATTGTCTCTGGTTATATTTTGCTCACTTGTTTGTTTTGTTGATTAGGTTCCACTTGTATGTGAGATCATATGGTATTTGTCCATACCTGGCTTATTTCACTAAGTATATTCAAAGTTAGATTGGTTTATTTGAGCTTTTTCTTGTTTGGGGGATCTGCCTGTAATGCTATGAATTTCACTTTTGGGATTGCTTTACGTCTGTTCCACAGATTCTTGATTTTTGTGTTCTCATTTTCATTTGTTTCAAGGTATCTTTAGATATCTTCTTTGATCTCATAGTTGACCCATTCATTGTTTAATAACATATTAATTAGCTTCTATGTATGCTTTTGTGTGTTTTCCAGTGTTCTTGTGATTGATTCCTAGTTTCATAGCATTGTGATCAAGGAAGATGCTTGATACGATTTCAATCTTTTTAAATTACTGAGATTTGTTTTATGTCCTAACATGTGGTCTATCCTTGAAAATGTTCCATATGCGCTTGAAAAATATGTATCAAGTACCTTGGTTGAAGGTCTTTTTTTCATCACCTTGAGTATTTCACACCACTCCCTTCTGGCCTGAAATGTTTCTGTTAAGAAATCAGATGATAGTCTAATGGGTGCTTCCTTGTATGTGAGTGCCTGCTCTTCTCTTGCGGCTTTTAGGATTCTCTCCTTGTCTTTAAGCCTTGTCTTTTTTATTATGATGTGTCTGGGTGTAGACCTCTTTGGGTCCAACTTGTTTGGGACTCTGAGCTTTGTGGACTTTGTGTGTCTTTTCCCTTTACCAGATTAAGGAAGTTTTCAGTCATTATTTCTTTCAAATAAGTTCTCATCCCTTGCTCTCTCTGTCTCTTTTTTTGGTATTCGCATGATGCAGATCTTGTTTTGCTTCATATTGTCCCAAAGGTTTCTTAATTCTCATTTTTTAAATTCATTAATTAATTTTTAGAGAGGGGGGAAGGGAAGGAGAAAGAGGGAGAGAAACATCAATGTGTGGTTCCCTCTCCTGTGTCCCCTACTGGGGACCCAGCCTGCAACCCAGGCATGTGCTCTTATTGGGAATCAAACCAGCAACCCTTCGATTCACAGGCCCATGCTTAATCCACTGAGCCACACGAGCCAAGGCTTAATTCTCTTCATTTTTTAAAATTCTTTTACATTTTTGCTGTTCTGCCTGGGTGTTTTTTCTACCTTGTCTTCCAAATCGCTGATTTGATTCTCCAGTCATCTAACTTACTGTTTATTCCTTCCAGTGCACTATTTATTTCAGATACTCTATTTTTTTCAGACTTGTCCTTTTTGTATGGTTTCTATCTCTCTTTTCATGCTGTTCAATATCCTTATAATCATTCATCTAAACACTGTTAGATAAATGCTTGCCTCCATTTCATCTAGTTCTTCTGGAGAATTTTTCTGTTTCTTTGGCTTCCCCTTCGTGTGTTTCTGTGTGTTAGGTAGACCTGCAAGACTGTTTCAGGCCTAGGTCACATGCTGTGACTGGCCCTCGGCAACCTGTTTGGAGCTATCAGCAATCCATAGCTTGTGGTTCCCTCTGCTGGGCCCGTTTGTGTGCAGAAAGAACCCAGCTGCACTCCCAGACATCTGCCTGTGTCTGCAGGCTTTTTTGCTAGGCTTGAAGAGTGAAAGTCTTCCAACTGTACTCCTCAGAAGTAGGTCTTAAGCACCACAGGATGGGGCAGAGTAATTCCTGCAGGTGGGGCTATTGATTCCCCTCAGGCTGATGCCACTTGGAAGAGAGAGCTCTGCCTGAGAAGAATGGCTCCTGCAGTATGGGGCATAACTCAGCACTGGGATACTGGCAGGTGTTCCTTCAGCTCTCTCCCCAGAGCCACTTCCCCAGACTCTCCTTTTGTGTCTCTAGTCCACTCTGCCTCCCTTTGCCAGAGCCTGGGTGGGGTTAGGAATTTCGTGTGTTGGCCCTTTAAGATGTTCTCCGTGTATCCAGCTGTCTCCTCCTGGCAGACAGAAACCCTGCTGCTTTTCACAGCCATTTGTTACATGGATTCCTTTCCCAGTTATGATGCTATTGGCTGGGGAGCCCAGCTTGGGGTTTAGACCTCATAGTTCACAAGGGGGCCCCCTCAGCTACTGAAATATCTCTCCCTTGCTTCAGCTGCTACCTGGGTGAGCCCAGTCAGCCCTCTCGTGCCTTCTCCACACTCCCTACCAGTCA